GTAGAGTGCTGTGGCATCATAGCTCATAGCAACCTCAAACTCTTGGGCTTAAGCGATTGTTTTGCCTCAGCCTCCCTAGTAACTGGGATTTCAGGCACCCATCACAACCTCCAGCTAAAAATCACATTTTTGGAGACAGGGCCTCACTATATTGCTTAGACTGGTGTCAAATTGCTGGAAGTGAAGTGATCCCCTCACCTAAGCCTCTAGATGAGATTACAGCTGTGCCCCGCTGTGCTCCACTGTGCTGGACTGTTGATAAAGCATTTCTTCCCATGGATGGCTCTCAAATTTTTGATGCCATGTGAGGGACACATGAACATGGGACTTCTAGTCTGCCATCTTGCTGATTTTACTCTCTCCATAAGTTTTCATTTTCTATTTTGTATGTATTAAACATTCTGTAATTTTAGATTAAATATTCAGAACTCTGTGTTGGAATTCCAACTTATGTAAGAAGTAAATTAGATAATTCATAGGCACTCCATATTTACTAAAAGGTTCACTTGGAAATTCTAATTTACTATGGGCAAAGAGGAAATCAGTAGGATTATCATCACTTTCTTCAACCTACATCTAAATTATATTTTAGTTTTTCCCAAATGCTTATTTACATATTGTGACTTATCATATTTTACAATGTTCAGCCTCTTACTTTATATATAAAAATAAGACTTTTGGTTTCTTCTAAAGAGTGAAATACAGCCATTTTTGTTTTTGTAAAAATATCAATATATTAATAGTATAATACAAATTATCTTTACTGTTTTCAAATATTTATTCATTAAAATTTTCTGGCTCAGCACCCGTAGCACAGTGGTTAGGGCACCAGCCACATACACTGGGGCTGGCAGTTTCGAAACCAGCCTGGGCCTGCTAAACAGCAATGACAACTACAACAAATAAAATAGCTAGGCACTGTGGCAAGTGCCTGTAGTCCCAGCTATTTGGGTGACTGAGGCAAGAGAATTGCTTAAACCCAAGAGTTAGAGGTTGCTGTGAGCTGTGACTCCACGGCACTCTACCCAGGGTGACATGGTGAGACTCTGTCTGAAAAAAGAAAAAATTTCTAATAAGTACTTTATATTAATAAATTGTACATTTTCTACTAAATTTTATTGCCATATACTACACAAAATATTCAAAATACCTGCTATCATTCAATAAAATGTTAACTAGTATTGGGTGGTGCCTGTGGCTCAAAAGAATAGGGCACTGGCCCCATATGTAGGAGGTGATGGGTTCAAACCCAGCCCTGGCCACACACACAAAAAAATGTTAACCAGTATTAAGAGACACGCCTGCTTTGCATAGGTTCAGAGTCACAGTGGAATATTGTAGTTATCTAGGAATAAAAATATTTTTGAGATGGGGTCTCACTCCGTTACCCAGGTTAGAATGTTGTGTGTAGCATCAGCGTAACTGAAAATAACTTAAAATAACTGGGTTTAAGCAATCCTCTTGCTTCAGCCTCTCAAATAACTGGAACTACAGGTACCAAACAACTTCTGGCTATATTTTTCTTCTTTTACGAGAGGGGGTTTAGCTGTTAGTTAGGCTGATCTCAAACTTTTTCTTTTTTATTAAGACAGAGTCTCAGATTCTTGCCTTTGGTGGAGTTCCATAGCATCATAGCTGACAGTAACCTCAAATACCTGGGCTCAAGCAATCCTCTTGTGTCAGCCTTCCAAGGAATAGAGGTGGGGTCTCACTTTTGGTCAGGCTGGTTTTGAACTCCTGAACTCAAGCAATCCAACTGACTTAGCCTCCTTGTGCGCTAGGATTACAGCCATAAGCTACTGTGCCTGGCTACTGATCCCAAACTTCTGAGCACAAGCAGTCTTCCCACGTTGACCTACAGAAGTGCTAGAATTATTGGTTGAGCCAACCGATGTAACCTAGAAAAGCTTTTAAATGCTATAGCAATGTTGTATACAGAATTTCATGTCTAATTCTTTTATTCTTGTTTGGCAATTTCATATTAGTGTGTATCTTATTCAGGGTAGGATTTTCAACCTCAATTTATTGTGTGTTTTGTTTGATTTTACCTATGTATTATAATATTAGATGAAATCACAACACATATATACTTCAATATGTGGTTCGATTAAACTATGAATTTGCTGGGCGGCACCTATGGCTCAAAGGAGTAGAGCGGTGGCGCCATATACGAGAGAGGGTGGGTTCAAACCCAGCACCGGCCAAAAAAAACTGTGAAAAAAAAAATACATGAATTTGCTATATGTCTACTATCAATTATAGCTGTTTTTTTCTATGAATATTATATAAAAATTTTTTATGAGTTTTTTGTTTGTTTCTTGTGAGACAGAGTCTCACTTTGTCACTCCAGGTAGAGTACTCTGGTGTCAAAGCTCACAGCAACCTCTAACTCTTGGGCTCAAGCAATTCGCTTGCCTCAACCTCCTGAGTAGCTAGGACTACAGGCACTGGCCACAACATCCAGCTATTTCTAGAGATGGCATCTTGCTCTAGCTAAGGTTGGTCTTGACCTGTGAGCTCAGGCAATCAGCCCACCTAGGCCACCCAAAGTGCTGATATTACTGGTGTGAGCCACTGCGCCTGGCCTATGTGTTATGTTGTATATTTTTTTCCTTGGTGGTTTTCAATGGTTATTATGTCACA